GAATAGTTTGCAGATCACAGGCAAGAAGCAGATCGGGCGATACTTGCCAATATCATGGAGGTCTTCTTTTTTAAACAATGGCACGGTCTTGCTAGTCTTCCACTGAGTAGAGACTGTCGAGCTAGTTTATTGAGAACTGGTGTAGGGTTCTTCAGATGTTCAGATCTTATCCTGTCCGGACTAGGTGTTGTTCGATTATTTACTGGCGAAATAGTATGTCGGATTTCAAAAAGGACAACCGGTGACGTTTCACATGAGGGCAGGGGACGAGGCTATTGAAGAGATCTGAGTAGTCATCGAGCGTGATTTTCTCCGTTGCCTTTCTAGAAGCTGTAACTATTTCATCTGGGCGTCGGAATGCGATCGTCTTGGTTTTGTGCTCATCCATAACTGCTGCTTTTCTTTGTTTAAGATCTTCTTTTTACCGCATATCTGCATTGTTTTGCAAGCACCGGACATGTGTTCGATATTTCCTGTAGCTCATGGGATTCCATTTCGGCGTTCCAGTTCGAGTGCTTCTATAAATGGACGTTTCTTAGTGATTTTCGAACTCTCAACTTTAAAGCTAAGGTGCTAAAGTGATGGCTTTAAATGGACAGATCGCATTTCTCGTCGCTTTTATCAACAACGGCATCTTCCCAACGGTCGACGAATGAACTGGGCAAATCTGTATTTATGGCAATTTTTGTACTTCGTTTTCTAAACATAAAATTTTTTCTCCTTTTTGCGAGGAACGAAATCTTGTGCGAAGAAGACGATATCTGACCTAGCGTAGAATTTTAGCTGTTCACCCAAATCGTCCCATTCTGAACCATGGCTGTCAATGCAACGCTTCTCAGACGTTCTTCTTAATCAAGTTTTAACGTTAAAATTTCCAATGATGACAGTGGCGATTGCAGGTCTTTTCCGTAGAACTTTTCCACGTCCACATAGAACGATTCTGCATCGTCATACTTTTATATCAGTGTGCAAGCGACGAAGATTGTGTCAAAGTCAGTACTGATCCACACCTCTTCAACCGCTAATATCCGACATGGGTTGCTAGTCGTTCGAATGAATCGATGTTCAATCGATGGTCAAGCTCGTGTTAACAAGAATGCCGACACGGCCGACTCCTCTATTGACGCATGTTCTGGAAAATAGTTCTGTTCTGGTGCTACATACAACGTTAAATGGGCGGCGTCTTCTCTTCTCAGCGAGTCTGATGACATTGTACTGTACCCTTCTTGCCTGTATGATCAAATCCACTGTCGAGGACTCAAATGCAAATATGCGCGCATTGTAGGTTCATATCGTAACCTTAGTTCTTTACGATTTAGGCAGCCAAAATGGTCCCATAGATTTTAGCAGCCTTTCCGTAGTCGTTCTATCCAACGCTGCACCAACCGGGACTCTTTTGGGTCAGGAGAATGAGGTCCTCTTTTTCTACTGCGTTTAGCGTTTGGTAGTCACTAGTAGCTTGCTGACATCTGAACGTTGAATGGCGTATACTTACGGGTAGCTTGGCATCCTCTCTTAGATTAGGCCAGGAGCTTATTTGCTAGGGGCGACTGCCAACCACCTTTCATACACTGGCCTGTCAGCTCAGTGCAGTCTTTTGGCATAATCGACTCATAGAATACAATCCGCTTAAATAAGAACACACTTATGCACGCATGCATGAATATATCCTTGCAAGCACAAAAGCAATTGCCAACTTTACGCAGCAGAAGTAGGGAGTCTGACCCGTTGAGCCGTATGCGTCTCAAGGTAGACAAAGTCGTTTTTAGTGTACGATTATCCGCTCCCTCCATCTGGGTGCGCCCCACTTTGCCTTGCTCTCAATCGGTAAGAAGCCCTTCAATGAAGGAGTTCCGTGGTGGGGTCCGAGTTTTGCAAACATCTCAAGCATCAGTGTGGTTGTATTTGACAAAATATTACCATTCGATAACGATATTAACATCGACATTAGAAGAGGGGCTAAGCAACGAGTTAAGATCTGGTAAAAATTATTTACCGCCACACTTGAGAACGCAATGTGAAAATTGAAATGGGACAACAGTGGAGTGAAAATCGATTGTCGTCAATTACACCATCTTCACTTTGTTGGTGACATCGTTCTTATAACGCGATTTCGACAGCGCTCTTGGAAGATTGTTCCTCGACTTCATCAACAACAGAATCGATAGTGCAGTGAGAAGAGCAAAGAACACCCGACTCCTAGAGGAAGACAAAACACTGGGATACTTTTGCATTCGACAGGTACAAATGGAAGGTTTACTGGCACCTTCTCGAGGCCTATGACAATCGCCAGGATAACAGTTCATATTATATTATTATAGTCATACAATGTTTTCCCAGCTATTGCTGTCCAAATGGTTGATGTTGTTGTAAAAAATGAGAGTTGCCTAGCGCATCATTCTGTGAGTACAGTGACATTGGGTGAGGTTTCCAACATGTTCATTCAACGTGTGCAACGTTAATATGTATTCTTTCATTGGTAAGCTTGCATGAGTTTGACAAAAATTTATTCGGCTAAAATTTGGGCGTCATTTTCTTCTTCAGAACCTACGAGCGTTAGTTGTACACTGTATACTCAAATAACTATTCAGTGACGACATATAGTCATGGTATTCTTGCAAGAGCGTCATACTATTTCTAATCGCCATCTGTTGATTCATGCGCTACAGTTTTTGAAAGACTTCATCGATCTCGTAGCAGCGCTTCTCCTTGATGGTCGTTTTTACAGCATTCAAGGCGATTTACTAAACCATTCTATACACCGAAATTAAAGAACTCATCAACGTATTTTTTGATGGAACTTCATCTCATTTCCAATATTGTGCTGAATGTTGTTGTTTGTCGTGTAGAATCCGGATCCATCTTTCATCGCGGCTCACAAAGTGAATGAGAAATGTGGGGTTTTTACGGTGTAAAAATTGCGCAGAACTGATTTCGAAACGGCAGTATCGCTGAATTTTTTGAGCTTTTCAACATCTCAGGGCCTGCCGAATCCAAGGGATTGTTAAGTCTGCATGTGTGGTTTCTCTGCATCCCTAGAAATTGTTTTTAGAGAGGCTGTTTCGACTGCCGGCTTCAGAAGCCGTCCTCAATCGCTATTAAGCGTCTGCTATCTTTTCTCGTAAGAAAACCCATATCCCTACACGAAACTTCCGAACTATTTTTACATTACTTTTCGAACAGATCCTTGATCGCTTACGCGATAGCATTTCTTCTATAGGAGCCATACAATGCAAAAATAATGACAGTTCTTGATTTAAATTGATATATCTCAACCCACAGGTAATTTTATTGACTGCAACAGAAGTATTATATTTCGCAACATACCCTGCCATTAAGAAGAAAAAGACAGTAAATAAAAGAGTTAAGAAGTATTAGAATTTGAAAATCCTTGCCTGCAAGTAAAGTGTTCTTGTTTTACCACAATGAAATTCTGATTTTTGTAGTCCACACAAATATTTCTTCCAATTTTTTTGCTTTATGGCTCATGATTCGTACATGAAGGTAAGTCAGCAAAGGGAGATCCTGTCTAGCCGACACGATGGTATTCTCAAATATACCCATTGTGCTTTCATACCTTGCTCTTCCATTGAAAATTTCAACAGTTTTAGGTTTAATTCTTATTTGTTCGGTACTGTGACTCGAAACATGTTTACGTTTTAAAATACATCAAGTAAACAAACTTTATATACCATTATTCCGATAGCGCAGAGTATTTTCCATTGATCTAAAGGCTTCTAAACTCCTGAAATTGCTTATTGATCGCAAAATTACAGTCACTTGTTCCCAAACCAGTTCCGTCATCTACGGTTAGTGATATTTCGACTTGCTACCATTATGCTCGGTCTAAGTTTGTACATCCACGTTTGAACACTTGGAGCAAAACAATGCGATTATTTCGTTTTGAGCGCATCATTAAGAAATAAATAGTCGGAAAAAATTTTAGGGGATTCAAATTGATGTCTACAGTACGGTTAAATTCACAGGGAAATTATGAGAAAGCTTGAGAACACTCATTCATTAACTTCTTTTAGGAGAGACGAATGCTCTAGTTAGCGCGACTATTTGTTGTTTACAACAATTCTAGCCCTCTTCGAGTTTATGGGATTGTTTTCCACTCTGACAATCCGATTTTATAACACTGTTTTTACAGTATTTTTTTGAAGTTGCCTATGTAAAAAGGCATGTAATATGAGGATAATTGATAGAACCTCAAAAATTCTTCCAGCTCTTACTCATCACAATTGACCGAGCTGCAGAGGTTTTGAAACCTAAAATCTAGTTGTTTTGCACACGTTGTTGGTTCAACACAATTGTCGTAGACTACGAATGATACGCGTTTCTCAGACAGCATTTCTGGTTGAGCAGCATAATATCAAACATTAACACACTGAGATGTTTCCCTGGCAAATTTCCTAATGTGCTGTCTTCGTAAGCGTGGTTATCTGAAAAGATACCTCGTATTTGGAGCCTATAGATGTTTAGTATTATCAAAAATTTTGTCAAATGTTTCGATTAGAAGGATGTGGCCTAGTGTCCACCGCTGTTCTTTTTTTCGTGATTCCGCTTACCACTAGTTCATCTCAAACCGATAAACAGTTGCTGTTTGGAATTACTCCATTGCTTTTTACCATCAACTTCATTGATGTGATCTGAAACTGACAACTCCTACTCTAGCCGATGGTTGGCATCAACATGTGCGTTCCTGTTTTTTCACGTCTTCAAACGGTTTTTGTCAAACCCATCAGGATTGTAAATCGATTGACAATCAAATGAAATGTTGTGCCGACAAATAAAGGCAGTTTTCTGAAAACCATGAAAACAAATTCGAAACGATTGAGATAAGTTTGGTTAGCAATTCTAGAACATAACTTTATTCCATTATACGATAAGAAGACGTTATCTAAACAGCTATGAAGTAGTGTCAGAGTAGTACAGCTCGACATTGTGACTTTGCTAGAGAAGAATTTGACCAAGGTTCTTGAAATGATACAGCAGTTTCAATGATATTTATCCATATGATGGACTTCGTACGTTTCATTTTTCGAAATATTGTCTGTACCGTACTGCACCGTATGCGAAATCTGTAGTAAAAGCTTTCCAAAACAAAAACACAGTGACGGTAAAAAGTTTTCGTTAGGTAAAAGGTGGAATAATTAGAAAAACCTACGTTATCCCGATTTATGGGTGGAGGGTTACGAAGAAGGAACATTAGTGGCGCGTACGCGAAATTGATGATAGCAATCAGATACATCATTCTGAAATATCATTTTGTCACTTCATGGATTCAACTAGTTGCCTTGTTTTTGCTTTCAAATTTCCTTGCAATGAAAGGGAGTGTTTAACTTCTCCATTGGAACAATTAATGTAGATATTAGTTATCATTTTCATCCACTCTTAATAATTCTTTCTTAGTGGGTGTGTGCGACATGAAGTGCAACCGAAGGTGCTGAGATCTGAGCAAAATTTGGTATCCTTCTTAGCCTTCGAACCCGCAAATTCCCTTTCCGGAGAGTCACGTGCTAACCACCACACCAATGAAGTTTCTTGCGATGCCTTTCTCTTGGCCTTGATTTGCTCTACCGCTTTGTTCAGCAATCATCCGTCAGCGGAAATGATTTGGAGATCACACATCGACATTGAACCCAGTTATGCCTAAGCTGAACTTGAAATCATAATGTTGTAACGTTTGTTTACAAACTACAGCAGCGATAGAACAAAAACAAGGCCGATAGAAAGGCAAAATAATGATCACAGTTGGTGTAGTGGATAGCACAATGGTAAAAGCGGGTTTGAACCTCAAATGAGGTCACGACTTTTCCTCATATCTAAGCGTATTTATGCTTAAAATTTGTTTTTATCAGGATGGTCTTCAGTGAGGAGTAGTTCCAAGTGTTCCTTTTTGAGGCTACATGGTGCGTCCAGAATTGGCGCTTAAAAACTTCTCCCTTCTTTTTTCGTTGTGCAATTGCCACAGATTTCCAATAATGTTTACTTATTTACAGAGTGAATAAGACCATTGAGGCAGAATCTATATTGGAATACTTTCCCAAGTGTTTAGGCTTCATATAGTGCTTGATAGGAAAGCCTTGAAGGACTTGACGTAATAGTTGGTAGAGCACATTTATCCAGCATCCGGCCGAATTGTTGAAGGTGTAAACGCGTCTCATGGAAGGCTTTGAGCTGTGCACCACATCACACACTTTGTGTTTTAAACTCATCATCTATATCACCTGTAGTCCCATTGATCGTCGAATGACTCGAGCGGGCGCCAGTAAATCTTCCGTTTTTCCCTGTCGCGTGTAAGAGTAGCCCAGTGGGTTCTTTTCGCTCTAGGGACACGTTGAGTATCATATCTTTCTTCTGGGCTCTTCGTGAAAAACTCTGACCGTCGGGTAGGCGGTCTTTCTGCAGTACGTTTGACATCCCGAGGAATCCAGTCACTAACGGCTCTTCAATCGGTTGTCATTCATACGCAATACGTGTCCGGCCCACTTTATTTTCGACTGTTTGGCGTACAGAAAGGTATCTTTGATTTTACATCATTGGCGCAGGTCCGAGCTTCGGATCCCATCCCTTGCTTGTGTGAAACGGGTACTATTAGCATCGTCCTTTCCACTGCGCGTTCGATAACGCTGAGTGACCTTTCATCCTGCTTACGCAGCGACCAGGTTTCCGACGTATACCTTAGAGCAGGAATTACCGTTGAGTCGAAAAGGTGGGCACGAAGTCGGGTGTTCTTTGTTCTAATATTTCGAAACCGACTTTCTCTAAACCTCGGTGTGACTAATCAATATGTATTCTTTCTTGATAAGCTTGCACGAGGTTGATAAATATATTTATTTTCGGCTAACGTTTCGACGTCTTCGTCTTCCTCAGAGCCGATGGTCCGAGTCGATGGTCCATGATTGTTGTTCGTCTCGACGTTGCAGCTTCGCCTTCGTGTCGAGCCAGGTCTTCCTCAGTGAGCCATTTTCTCGAATCGAATGAGGCATCCTCACTCAGTGATGCCCTTTTATACACGATGCTGATGGTGGATATATAATGATAATGTCCGGTGGTAACAGCTTGTATTTCTTCCAGGGCATACTACGCTTTGTGCTAGCTGATAAAAACACCGACTTCTGCACGATGCGCGCGATGATTATGTCCGGAAGAAAAACAAGTTGTTATCACCGGATGTTATCATTATATCCACCATCAGCATCGTGTATAAAAGGGCATCACTGAGTGAGGATGCCTCATTGGAGAAGATGGCTCACTGAGGAAGACCTGGCTCGACACGAAAGCGAAGCTGCAACGTCGAGACGAACAACAATCATGGACCATCGACTCGGACCATCGGCTCTGAGGAAGACGAAGACGTCGAAACGTTAGCCGAAAATAAATATATTTATCAACCTCGTGCAAGCTTATCAAGAAAGAATACATAGTTCTTTGTTCTTTCTCTTCGCTACATTCTTGATGCTCTTGAGAGTTCCTCAAGCCGCTCATTTCCTTCTGCTCAGCTCTGGAGCTAGGTCGTTCATCATATTGATTTCTCGACCTAGATAGACATAACTGGAACATTCAGAGATATTTGTTCCGCTGAGCGTGAATAGGGTATAAGAAACCAATACTTTCCTCACGAACAACGTTTCTGTGAGATTTAGTCGAAGACCGTTCATTCCACACGCTTTATCAAAGTCGTCAAGAACACGTTACGCTTGGCTAATGTTTAGTGTTATAAGAACGATGTCATCAGCAAAGCGAAGTTGGTGTAACTACCGACCATCGATTTTCACTCCCATATTATCTCATTCGAATGTTCGCATGACGTTCTGGAAGGTGGCGGTGAATAATTTTGGCGAGATGGTATCGAAATGCTTTCTGTAAATTAATGAAAATGAGACAGAGCGGCTTTTTGTACTCTCATAATACTTCAATGAGCCTTGTTATCGTGTGGGTGTTGTCCATCGTGTTAAATCCTTTTCGAAACCCTGCTTGCTCACATGGCTATACTTCGCCCAGTGTTATGTTAACGCTGTTTAGGATGACTCGAGTGAAAAGTTGTAGACGACAGAAAGCAAGGAGATTGGGCGATAGTTGCCGATATCGTGTAGGTCACCCTTCTTGAACAATAACACTGTCTTGTTAGTCCTCCAGCAAGTAGGAACCTTGCATTCAGACAGGTAACATATGAGGAACCAAGCCAGTGTGTTTACGAGAACTGGCGGAAGGTTTTTCAGGTGTTCTGGTCTTAGTCTCTCCTACCCTGGTGCTGTCGGATTTTTCACCGACGAAATGGCATGTCGGATTTCGGAAGGGAGAACCGGTGGTACAACGTATCCATCCTCCTTTATTTCATATGGCGGTAAGTGGATGTGGCTATCGAAGAGATCTGAGTAGTATTCGTGAATGATTTTCCCCATTGCCTTTCTGGACGCTGTAACTGTTCCGTCTGGGCGTCGGTGTGCAATCATCTAGGTCTTGTAATTAGCGAAGCTTCGGCGGGCTTTGCGAATGCTTTTCCTAGCCTCTGCTGCTTCGACCATTACTACTACTCTTCTCTCTTTAAGGTCTTCTTTCATCGCCTGTCCGCATTGTTTTGCAAGTTCGGACGTTAGTTCGCGGTTGCCTGCAGCTCATGCGATTCCACGCTGGCTTATCAGCTCGAGAGTTTCTGGAGACAGACGTCTCTTGGTGACTTCCGAACTCTCAGCTTTCATAGCGGTAACGTGAAGATGTTGAATGAGCCGATCGTATTCTTCGTTGGCAGTATCGACAACGGCATCCTCCCAACAGCCGGCTAATGAATTGAATAGGTCCCAGTTTACGGTGGTTCTGCGACTCCGTTTTTTGAATTTAGAGGCTTTTTCTCTGTTCCGCGAGAAGTAGAATTTTGCACGAAGGAGACGGTGGTCGGATCCCGTGTAGAATTTTGGGAAAACAGCAACATCGGCTAGGGAAAACGTTCTATTTACTATGATGTGGCCTATTTCGTTATGGTACTCTCCATTGGGAGAGTCCCACGTCGAGCGCTGAGAGTGGGGCTTCTTGATCTTCTGGATTTGCGAGATACCATGGATTATCTTGGTTGCCATGATAAACTCAGACAACCGCTCACCCTGTTTGGGAAGGAGGTCCGCTTTTTTTAACTGTGTTTCGCATTTTAATACCCACGTATAGATTGTTGGGCTCTGAACGTGGGGGCTGGATACACTCACGGGTAGCTTGCCAGGCTCTCCCAGAGTGGACATGGAGCTTATTTGTTAGAGGCGATTCCTAACCGCCTCCCATATACTTCCCTGTCACTTGATTGCAGGGTTTTGGCCGAATTGACTCGTAGAATACAATCCGCTTAAACAAGAACGCGCTTATGCACGCATGCATGATTATATCCTTGCAAACACAAAAGACACTTACCAAATCGACGCAATAGAAGTAGGGAGTCTAACCTGTGGAGCTGTATGCATCTCAGGGTAGCCAAAGTCGTTTTTAGTGTACGATTATCTACTCCCTCCATCCTTACTCCAATACAATAAGCGAGAACGCACCCACCCAATCATGCATGAATACGCCTAGCAAATACAGAAAGTATGAGCCAGATCGGCGTAGCATAAACAGGGTGTCCATCCCCTGGTTCCACCTGCATCTCAGAGAAGCAAAGGTCGCTTTTGGTCCGCGATTAACCCCCCATCCGCCATCTGGAGACGCGCCGCGTAGCCTCGCGACTAACCGGCTCGAGGTTTCTGATATGTGGGAAATTGGGCGACATTGAAGCATTTCTTGCGCATGGAACGAGTATCATTGTGGTCCCTTTCTAATCCGCAGGTTTCCTAAACAATCTCCTACCCCATCTTTAAAAAACTGCATTTCAAATTTTGGAGAAGTCCTGATACAGAACTCGAGTTTACTCATTAGTAGAACTTCTCGTTTATTGAGTGTTACTTAACCCAATCAAATACTAAAAATGCTTTCGAGGAGTTACTCTGATCTTTGACAACAGAATCAGTTAGGTCCCTGGTCTTCCGGTGGAAATGTGCACATTCATGCACCCCTCCAGCATCTCATTAATTTCACCCATCTAATGAATAAAGGATAGGATAAAGCTCTCGGCGTTGATCAATCTTTGAGCGATTCGCCATGCATTCAACTTGGAAAACACTTTATTAAGAGTGTGTTCTGTGAGGTCTCTTTAGTCTTTCAGTCTTTCAGTCTTTTCCTAGAAAGTGTTCCATCTCATTTTTTCGCTATCTGTGTTTCGTCTCTGATTTAACTAAATAGTGGCTATAATTAGCTATTTATTGGCTATAATTGGCCATAACTATAAAAGCGCGTCTTATTGATATATTAGTTCAATAGCAATCTAGTTCATGTAGAATGAAAGTTTCTTCCATGGCACCTTTGCCTCTTTTAAGCACTGAGTTTGATAGTTAGTTGTGTCTAGGCCACGAACTCACGTTGAAAATCCAACCGACTTAACCAGCGGTCCCGAAAAGAATGGGCCGAGTGCAAAAGCAAAGCAGAAGGCGGCGTCGGCAATGGCATAGATCGAGCCGTAGACTCCAACATGTCGCAAATCCACCAAACTTCCCATCAGGGGGAACATTGACGCATCAATCATTCCTGGATTTTTTCGTCGTTGCTTAGGAATGTATCTTCCACTGTTAGGATGAAATCACTATGAACATTGCTAGACCTAGTTGTGGCGACCAGAACTATTTTAACCGTTCATTATATGTGGAAGAATTCATTGCAATTTGGAAGCTTACCAAAAGAGTGCATTGGGTTGAAGTCTAGCTTGATAAGGATCTTTTCCAACTTGTTTCATGTTTTCCGAAAAGCTTAGTAGAACAATGTTTCTCATTGGCCTTATAATGTTGTCAAATTGAACACAAACCGATACTGAATCCCATGAATAAAAGGGGAAAGACTAGCCCACTGATTGATGATGCTGAAGGTATTGACAAAAGACAGAATCCTATGACGAGAAGACCGATTAGAGCGGAAAGCCACCTGAAGAGTATCATTAGCTGGTATAATACTTACAATGGTTTATGCTAAAACGCCTACCGTCCTATTTTGTGAGCAAGTGGCCCGAATACATTAGTTCCAACTAAATAGGAAATTGAGGCCGGAAGGAATGCAGCGCCCCTTTCCAGAGATCCAGCCTCCCATGTTTCCATCATCCATAATGGCAGGGACGGTTCTAGCATTGCTATTCCGAGATTACCAATCGTAATCGCTCCTATAATCGAAGGATTCACATATCAAGGTTTATTTTATAATCCCTCTTATCGAATATTCATTCAGATGTTTATAGGGCCCTAATTTCTATCTGTGACTACATTCTACAGATTACGAACATAATTTTTCCTTATAGTGAAAGATAAATTGAGTACACTTTTCACCGCAGGAAAAATACTTACAGAAGGTGAAGAATGATCAATTATTTCGAAAAATATCATACACATGCAACATGACTGCTTTTTTCCTCGGATGGCATGCCTTCATGACAAGGAGAACCCAATCACCTATTCGATTTGTATTCGATTTGTTCCGATGCAGTAGTGGACCATGACAGTATGTCCCTTTCGTGGTATGATGACGTATGTGAATATTATTCCGTAACCAATAGAACGTTTGCAGCTTCGCATTTGAGTTGTCAATGTGCATAACACGCTGATCCATGCGTCCTGTAGCTAATCCTCCCAGAGGAGCTCTACATTCTTTTGCGCTCCAACTATTTTTCTCTTCCAACTCCTCAAATCTTATCATCATGTGGTCGATCCGTATGCCTGTTGACCTTGACCCCTTTAATGTTTCAAATGCATGATACGCAACAAAAGAAGCCAATAAATGGGAACGTGCAGATGAGAAATTGGCTGCTGACTTCATCACAATCTCCCCTACGCATGGAGCCCTACTTTTTTCTTTAGCTTTATTTGCATACCTCTTCTCACCTTTCTCAAAAAAACGCAGTTTCACTAATCAATTTTTATTGCTTTCTACACGTAGAATGCGAGCGTTGGTCTCTGCAACCAGAGAACCTCCCATTTTAGCTCGTTTACCTTCACACCACGGGTTGTTCATTTGCTAGTTTCTTTCTCGACGTATAAGCATTCTTTTCTATTCCCCATTTCGTTGAGCTCTTTGAATATCTTCTTTATTCCACTTCTATTCGTTTTAAGATGGCGATGATGTAAGCAAACCCAAGGTTTGACAAAAATTGCTATCAATGCCTATATTTGCGTCGAAATTGAGCGAATTCCTCATTCACTGTCGTGCAAAGGTGAACAGCCTTCGTAAAATGATGTTCTATTATCGAGCCACTTTTCATAAAAGAATACTAAGTTGCTAGTTAAGGAGGTGTATGACCGTGAGGTTGTCACAAAAGCAGTTCGCTAGGGTTTTCATTTAAGAAGGTGCGCTTTCTTCTACCGTGACTGCTGGAATCCTGATGATACCACTGGATGAGCTACATCCAAAGATTTCTGTACGTGTTTATTAAATGTTTACTTCGTAGGGTTTTCCTCTGAAGCTTCATAACTATAATAAAAAGCATGATTAAGAAATCTTCTTGTAGAGAATGCAGACCAAATTCAAGAAGTAAAATTGACAATGCTTGCAAAAAGACTTCGCCCATCTTTGTCGGGATTTTTTTGGAATCTTCTTGTTATATACGTTTCTCTAAAGTTGTGCTTCTTATTAATTTTAAGAACACAATTAGAAAATCAAAAAAAGTAAATCAGAGCGGTAGTGGAACATTGTATTTTCATATCTCTCCCTACTTAGTTATACTGACGTAAGTTGTCTCGCAGAATTTTTTTTCCAGCTGGCATTTTTTACTAGCCTACGTGTGCTGCAGTTAGATCTTGCTTCCATTTTCTTCTCTGTGACTCATTGGTGGTGCTAGTGGTTTGACTCGAAGTTCTTATGAAAAACTGTGGCAGCTTATGCATAGCTTGCAATTCATTGAAGAGTGGCTCATTGTCGTTGGTGAGGTCTTTGCAAAGTCTTCCAGTATGTGGAGGAGGCAAAAGCGTGTTGTGCATAGCAGCTATGTGGTATCCATCCTCGTTTCCGTTTCGCGTTCCATATCCAGCAATTAAATTTGGATAAGAGCCTCTTTGCAATAAATCGCTTTCCTAAATCGGCCGTAGAATGCGTTTGGGCGTATTGCAGGTTGTCCATGGTGGTAGGTTGCAACTGATAATATATCATCATTGAAACCGAAGTCCGGGACGAAAGATGACCGTTCAAAGTAGTATGACCTAGTGTGAATCAATAGAGGAATAGCGACAACTCTTCCTAGGTCTTCAGACGTTGTTCGCTTATACATTCAGTCGCCAACACTTGGGGCGCTGACGTAGTTTGCTGCGTTGCAAATAGGTTTCTATCAGAGCAGTGGCGATTCCTGGCGTTACCTTGCGCCTAAGTAGGATTCTAGATAGTAACACACCGCCACACGTATCGAAGAACACCTTTCTTCTTTTATGACGACGTAGCAGACCGTATTAAAATGGCTGTAAGGGTGGTCGAAAATTGTTGAGTTAAAGAAGGAAAGCCAATATCAACTTTATCATTCTTAACTCCCACAAAAAACCGTTAATTGTGAATTACTAATGCATCGTCCACTTTACGCCTAGTTCTATTAAAACCGTTCTTAACTGTGTTTACCAAGTTAGAAAAAAGTTCCTCATCTGAGTTCAGTAGATGTTGTCAACGTATTTGTTAAATTTCCGCATGTAATCTCGAAGGCAATTTGAGCGCGTCAACTTGAGAGCTGCATGCGGTTGACAGGCACAGAAGGGTTAATCAGAACGTGAAACAGATAGATTTAATCATAACATGAAAGAATTTCAGGCGAAACTATTTAGATTTTTCTAAATCAGCAGATCATTGCATTTGTTTCACCTGCATTAATCGCGATAAAGCCTTCATCGCTTTTTTCTTTGATAACTCATAAAATGAAGACCGTTCGAGTGTAGTGACTGTGGTGACATTAGGGAGATGTACCCAACAGCAATCTTCAGATTCGCCAACTTCACTTTCTTTAGATTCTTTCTTTTGTTTGAGGCATATGCGCCGTATTTTCACAACTTCACACAATTTTTCGCTAAACTTAATGCTGAGTATCTTTCTTCAGGTATCGGGACAATTACGAACGAGCTCCGGAAGCACCCAACTAGAATAGCTTGCATTGATCGCAAAGGAAACAATGTATGACGCAGGCATTTCGTGTCTATTGCATAAGAGAACACCAAATCGTTTCAAATATAACTTTCAAGAAGCCGATTTAAAAGATAGGACCTGCCGCAACAATTATATAGGGATCTTTAGTCAGTTGTCTAATTGTTGATCCCTCCGGTTCACCACGATCTATTTTTGGTTGAAGTACAATGAACTGCAACGCTGAAAATAGTAATCGGTAGTAGGTGTAGGCAAAGTCATTTTAGAACACCAAACTACTCACATCCATCGAAGAGAGCCAGGAGAGCAAGCAGAATGAAAGGCAGCTCTTTTCCTCCCCATTCATATAGAACGCCGCCGTAAGGTGGTCCAACGAGGACTCCTAGTGCTAATCCTCCTAACGCGATTCCCATTGCACTACCTCTTTCCATATCATCTGTATAAGCTTGAGCTAACATTCCCATTCCTAAAACATCGTAAATTCGACGGCTATTACAAATTATTACTTCTCCAATAAAACAAAAAAGCTAATCACCAGAAGTGCTGGTACACGCAGATCCAATACCTTGCATTGCCCTAGCAAACCACAGTGTACCATATGAAGATCCAAATGCAAACATTATGGTCGACAAGAACATTATTACGAATCCCGCAAACATTGGAAGTGTGTAGCCAATCCTGAATTATTTCACGGTAGTAGCTGTCACGTTATGACATAAGACATTTCCGTCGTCAAAGAGCTTACTTATTTGTCAGGGGTCCTATCCATGGGTTCGCAACGAGTTGAACGAGGGCTTTTGATCCGAACATCAACCCCACTAGAACGTTTTCTGTGGCCAGAATATCATGTCTTTCTTTTTGACTATCTGATGAAGCAACTTGGGGCACAACTGTAGATCGCGTGCATGGTCTGATAAGCAAGAAGTTCGCAGATTTACTTTCAGCATTCTCGAATAAGACGCTGAGAATTTTACAAAAAATAGAGATTTATAGATTCATTCACACTAACCGTTCAGTATTTTCCGTAACCTTCCCCTTTAAGCCATTTGGCTTTGATTTCTCTATTTTGCGGACCTCTTCTGTATTTTTTCGAGTATCAAGTGGATTTCCATTCCATGGGATATTTGCTCCAGAGCTCTCCGACAACGGCACGTCCCAAGCATCGTCATCCCAGACAATCTAGACAACTAGTGTACTCGAAGAAAATAATTAGTTCACCAAGCGTCAACCTGTCTCTTTCCAATCATGCGCTCGTTGCTTGGTTTATTGTAGAGTAGTAGATCTGTGCTATTAGGATGAGATATCCGTAATAGGTACTCAGGTATTATTGGCACTGAAAAGACAACACCTGCCTTCGTCACTAACATGTTGTCCAAACAACATGTTTTCTGCATTTTGGCAAAACGCTTAGTTGCTTTCAAGAAACACTCACCGACTGTCGTTAGTAGCATGTTGTCCAGAAATAGAGCTATATAGACGATCAAAAGAAGTACTTTTCTATTGTTTCTGTATTTAGAGATAGTTTCATAAAGTTGCATAATCTAGAAAGAAAAACGTTGAAAAGCAGCTTCTCCATATCTGTCGACTTTAAAACTGTGGTGGGTCAGTGAGTTAAAATTAAGTTAGAAAGTATCTTATTTCTATGTTACATTAAAGAACAAAAGGATAGCATCTAATTTAATTTAGGGGTACCTGGAAGCCAGGGCTATTAAATATATAGAGAAGTGTGCTAGCTGAACTTAGACTGTGCTATAGAATGAGATTTTCGGCATAACATGGGCGGGGCGAAGGAGTTCAATTAACAAGACGTAGGGTAAAAAAGGAAAACACTTGAACTCTCTTTTTACATCCAGTACTCACATCGTATTTGTCAGACGGAATGACGACATTATGTAGACAAAGCACATTTATGTAAGGATATCTACTTTTCGTGAGAAACCTCATGAATTTTTCCGTCGGTCGAGTCGAGCTATGAGTGCACGAGAGAGGATATCCTCATCATGGAGCTTTCGAGACGGCAAGTTCATTACGCCTTTGTTTAGTTTAGTTCTGCTGTGAGATATCGGTTTCCCACATTGATCATTAAAAGTTGAAACCAAAAATTGGAAACTCGATACATATTCTCGATATGCTAAGATATGGTTATTTCACATTGTCATAACCTAAGAGTTGTGAATTTGTTCTAAGGTGTTATGAAGACCGGGAAGAAAACGGATCGAAACAAAAAGGGGTATCACTGGAAGAAGATAAGTGAAGAAATGCTCTAATACTTAGCGGTCTTCGCACGCACTTGGTTCCTAGCACTATCCCAAGCCGTTCAAAAGTTAGTTAATCTCTCCGTGGATAAGGAAAGTTTTCGAACACATTCGTCCTGGTTTCTTGACATTAATAAGTGCTTTTGTCACAAGTGTTTGATTGCATGTGTTTAGTTAAATCAGGTATCAAAATGTCAGTGGAAAGTATACGTAGAAAATTTAGTGTGTACAACTCCTGTGTAAAATATTGGTAACATATACAACCTCCAGCTTCTTCCGGTTGGGTTTTCGCGAATCAGTAGTGTGAAAAAATGCTTTTCGCTAGGAGTCCGTTGGTTTTTACTGATGAGTGTGCGTACATGGTAGGAAATGAGTTGAGGCTGTAAGATGCATGTTGAGTATGCTATGGAAGCCAAGACATTAATCTGTTCAAGAAGGGTATGCTCAGTCGGAAAAGTTGATGAATTCCTCATCTCCACCACAACGAAACGGCCAGCTCCAAAAGAAAAGCTGGCTGGTAAACTAGATAATCCAGTTTATATGGGAAAGTTCAAAATTTTCCTAAACAATCGTTCCACACCGTTTGATTTCGACTCTTCTTCCTGCAGTAGCGGCGAAGGAGAAGGATTTGTGCTCCCAAAGACTGAATCAAATTAAGAACAAAACAAACTGGAATTGAAAAGACGCAGTCGTGCACATTAGCACAGATTTTGAGTAGTCGACAAACCATATACACCGCATTTAAGGAGTATTTGCAACACAAACCAAATGTACATAGATAAGGCTTTGGTACTATTTCAAAAACCCATTGTCGTATGTTAGAGTTAACCCCGAAAGACCTCCGTCTTTTTATCAGGTTAACTCAAATATTCCGATTTATTTGAGCCACAAACAAAAATTAAACTCAACAGAACGGAGATCTGTCCATTACTTTTCTGTGTAAACTAAGAAGTCAGTACTTCAAGAGGCAGTCAAAATTCCCATTAATGTGATAGCAGGCACGTGCAATGCAGAAGAGTTACAGAAACCGAGTGAGCATGGGGGAACTACAAAGTTAAGATATGAAACACTGATGAACACGATTTTGGTGCATTCACAAGGCAAAATCTCAATTTTCTATCAATCGCCTATGGGTCAAAAAAAGTTAGAACTTTGTTCGGGTTATGGAAAATTATGGAATGACAAATTAAAATCATATGACTCAAAATAAACACAAGAATACTAATTATGATAAGAATCACTGAAATCTGCATATTTTTGCTAATAAGGTGTAAGTTGGCCAACTCTGACAGCATGATATGAGTGCAATTTCATCAGCGGCAGGGTTGTTGAACATTTTCTCAGCAAGTAGTTATCGAGTTGTGTGAAAAAGTGGCAGTTAGTTTGCGTCTAGTCGTCCGATGAGTGCGATGGGTAAGAGCACTTTCACAGTCGAACTCGTCCAACTTCTGCAACATTGGTTATGCGACATAGGGCATAGTGCTGTTGAATGTGATAAAGAATATTAATCGTAAAGTAGAACAGAGAGCACAACCACTATTATATCGAGGTATTTGCAAGACTTAGACCCCAGTCCAGATGCCAACCCTCGATTACCCTTCCCGTTGAATCATGTGTTAGCAATCGCACCACTGAGGCTCTTGACTTGCATTTTTCTCGGTTATTTTTCGGCCTGCCGATGCCATCAGTAATCAACCGCCAACGGAAATAATCTAAGGAGCACAAATTGGCATTAAACGCAATCACGACGCCAAAGCTGCTTTCAAAATCACATTGTTCACTTTTTATTTACTGCCTACCACCACTTTTTCACGGCAGGGTATGATGTGAAATACAACTTCTACGATACTGAGATATCTGTAAAGTGTACAGAAGTCTCAGTGGTGCAGTAGGTAACACGTGAGCTCTTGGATAAGGTGATCTCTGGTTCAAATCTGGCCTGGGATCCAAACTTTGCAAATGTTTCAGCATCATGGTGGCAGTATTTCAGGTGTACCCCGTGGTGAAAAAATAAGAAAAGGGGGCTAATTTAAAAGTAAGCATTGAAAACGCTGAATGGTGTCTATGTTTTTAATACGCTTTCATCACATTATCCGTTGAGCATTCTAAGATCCCTTTGCGTTTCGAAATCTGCAAAATTCAGGAGACCGACTTTCTTTAAACGTTGGCATTAATAACTAATTTATGTAAATTTTATTGGCTGCCAAAATGCGCTTCCTGATAGTGCACAATCATTGTTATAATTGGGTCCAAGCTTTTCGTTTGGTCTCTTAAATTCTAAAAGAACTCTAGTTAGGATCACGTTCAGTTCATATTAACACCAAGATCAGCTGTATTATAAGGCTTGGCCAAAAAGATAATGCAATGAAAGACAAAGAAGGGAAGTGCTTCTAATTTCCTCCTCCTAAGCTTTTTTTGAGTGAGATCTAACTAATAGTGAAATTCACCTTATATTTCATTTAATTCCAGGTGAAGTAGCAACGGATCAAACGTGGTGTTTATCCTCACCCTCACTTAATTGTCCATTTATTCATACCAACCATCTACATAATGCAATGGTATTTCAGGATCATCTTCAGTGTGCGAAACCAGACGGTGTACATATAATGGAATCGTTGCATTCTAGCTCATCTTATACTAAGGTTTACTATTCAGTGAATGAGGTGGAATGAAAGCACTGGTTCTCGATCATCCGCCATTACTCTGCTCTCAGTACATAAACCACATCTTCAGTTCATACAAAAACAAGCTGAAAAATGCTTCGCATTGTTAAGTAGAGAGTCTAGTATACATAAAAACTCGTCCAGGAAAAACTTGGCTTAGACTAATTTTTATTTCAAACATTTAAATAAGGCTTTCAGAAAAAGGCAGCATCATGATCATGAAATGGTACTGAAGAGCGAGTAGTAAAAACTGCTGGTGCACCAACTCTTCTATCATTCTTCACACGTAGAGGGAAGCACTTATAAAAAACATAAGCCGAATGACTGGAAGCGTATGCACATAAGAAGGAAAAAGAAGCAATTGTTTAACTTGGCGTGAGAAATACTCCTTCCTAATGACAACAAAGAGGTAGCCGCTCTTATCCTCCAGAATATGGTTTCAAAACTGAATAAGCTCCTTTTCAAGATGCTCTTCATATTAAAATTGGTTGTAACTTTATTAGAAGATGACAATAGAAAAGTGGTCCTGGAAATTCTCTGGCCATTATTAAGCTGTCTTCTAATACCTTACGCCGTCAGCTGGTCTGCAGCAGGATCTGTGATCATCTATGTAACATTGAGATCAGCGTGATCAGCCCTAAGGGCGGCGATTGGGATTCATGAGTTCAGGTTGAATATACCTCCTCTCATCTGGAGATAAAGTACCGATTTCTAAACCAAAATGAGAATACTTCCGCAAGGAGGCTTTTCTGGCTGTAGTTTAAAGTATGTAGGCACCGATCTCAAAATAATTCTGCGAGGTCCTGTGCACATAATCAAAATGGATCTTCCATGAGTTCACCAAACATGTCTGATTAACCAGATGTACGAAAAGCGACATGAAGTTTTTTCTGAACGATTGCGTCAACGACGCTTCTTTTAGTTCCTGTCATAGGCAATAAGCGGCTAAGAGTCATCTCCGTTTATATATGTTCCACGTCCAGAGTTCAGCAAGGTATATATGGGTCCCAAATTTTGAACATAGTAAATTAAGCAGGCATCAATCCGATGAATCCGAAGGAGCTCCTGAAACGGCGGCGTTGAGTGGGATGACCAGGAGAAGCTAGTAAAATCCTAGGACCATTGGATAGTTTACCTAGATCTTAGAGGAACAAGGTGGTCATCTGTGACCACACTGCCCGTTAACCTGCTCCTAAAGTCTTCAATGAGGACCTGCTTATGGAGACCGGAAGTTATGACGTCATCGGACAAATCGAGACGAGAATATACCACTGACGTCATCGGACAAACCGAGACGAGAATATGCCACACATTCGGAGACGTCTGTGACGGCAGAAAAAAACTGTTCCTCGAAAAATGCGGTAATAGAGATGTCGGCGAATCCGGTGTTTTCGTCAACACTAGTTGTACCACGAACGTCGATTGAATCGAACGACTGACGAGCCATATCGAGTGTTCACGATTGAATTGTTGTGACCAATACCGGCCTTGAGAATGTTCGTCGTTTAAGCACCGAGGTCGAGATATGACGAA